CACTCCAGAATGCTTTTCAGTTCCTAACCGAGAGTACTAGAGTATGGGCATAGTAATAGCCCATAATAATTATAATTATGAACATTTGGTGTTTTAAAACCAAAAGATTTTGTGTTGGTTTAGTTTAAATTAGACAGCAACCTCATTACTTACCAAAGGTGTACAGTTGTCACTGTCCCTTGCACCCAAATTGACTTCTTTTTCCAAAGCTAAGCTGGTGTCATCCTGCCTCCACCTCAGCAGGACTGTAGTCAACTTGGTATACCCTAGTGCAGCAGCCAAATGCAATATCGTGGAGCCATCCTCATTCGGTTCAGTTGTGAATCCCTCTGAAGTACCAGTAGACCGACTACTCAAAGACCGACAGAAGGAAACCAAACGCTCTTCAAATTTTGGATTGGAATACAGCTGAACGTCTTCAATCTGAAATTGTGAACAATACAAGTCATTAAAGGAATTCTTATAATAGTCCACTAAATATCTGTGAACTTTTTCTTAACATTAACATAACATGTTATGTAAACAATTTTCAAAATACGAGCACCGTTGACTTACTAAAAATAATTTTAATTAAAAAGAAAACAAATTAATTTGAACATACCTGGCTGTTTTCATCAGCAGGTTCAATTTTCATTTGCAAACGACCTTGTAACCGCTGTAAGCGCTGCAGCAGCGAAAACCTTCTTAAGTCCAGCGATGGCAGTGGTGCAGACGCGGGAGATGACGGCGCAGGTGCTGGGCCAGGCTTGTATTCGAAAACTACCGTGTCCGATACAACGCGACCTCCCCGAGCCACTTGCAACGCTGCTAATCCTGCCTCATGAGCTGAAACGTAATAAATTCTGTGTTAATAAAGGTAAAGATTGAATTTCTCACAATTTCAATTATAACAATGGGCAGGACACAGCTGAGCTCAACCTAATTATGTATAGCAACTGTAATATGTATCTACCTGTGATCTACAATTAACTCGTCGAGTACCGTCATTATAGACACAATTATAGAACAATAGGTTGCGGTCACCGGTGACCGCTTGATGTTTGACAGTTTAATAAATGAATTTGAATTTGAACAATTTTTTACAGTTAATCCAAAAGATGAATTTTATTTTTATTAAACTCTATCGACAGGATCCCAATGACAGGATAACAGTTATTTGATTTATCTAATTAGAGAGACAAGGATGTTGCACACTTCTTACCTGGGCAGTAACACCTCAAAAGTCCATTTTGGACCAAAATCGATGGCACGGGGAAGTTGTCAAATAGTACAGTATACTGATCTGACGTGTCTGTCCAAGGGCCAGCAACTAAAACCTTCGCTCCACCTTCAGGGTAGGCCCACTCCGGAGAATAATCCGTTATATTCAGCGTACCTTCACTACTACTCTCAGTCTGCATTTTCTCACTAGTATCTTCGGCTGGTGGAGACTTGTCACAAAGAGTCTGAAAATTAAGGAAAAAGGACTGCTTTTATGTTGATTAAATCTGTCATTTTAACCAGTTTTTGCAGAAATTATAAATGCAAAAAGCATAATAAAACAAAAACTGATTAAAATAAAAATAATAATCAATGGTAGGCAAAAAATAAAAAGGAAGTTAAAATGTAAACTAAACAAAAAAATGCCTAAATAAGAGAGATATAAATATTATGTTAGTTTTGCAAGTACTAAAATTAAAAAACTATAATAAATAATAATTGTATCCTTTACCCCTTTTGTTTTTCGACTCACCACTGGATTCGATGACATCCCACTGGGATCCAACACTTCCAATTCCGGAAAGTCTCCTAGCATATCAAAAGCGTCCAGATTCACAAACACATTATCATCAACTCCTGTAGCAGGCGAAGCCACAACTTCACAACTGTCTATAAAGTCCATTGTATCTATACCAGACACCATCACATTAGCCGTATCAGTATGCCTCACACCGTTCCTATCCAGCTCACAAGTAGGCATATTAGCCGACAAAGTTTTTTGAATATCTTCATGCGATAATTCAAGAGTCTCATCAAAGAACCCACTAGAACCTAAATTGCTGTCTGTACCGAGCAGCACTAAAGTATCATCACAGTTTTCTGTCAAAACTTTACTTTCTAATCTTTCTACTAAATCGGGATATCTTGATGGAGTCGCCGGCGCACTTGCGATAACCTGGTTTCTACTGACACTACTTCTTGGCTCCACTTTAATTTTCCTTTCAAATACATCAACATCTATTTTTTCCTCTTTAGGCTCAATTTCAAACTTTGTCTCAGTGGTTTGAACTACCGTAGGTTGACTGTCCGGAATTTCACGTTTTAAAACAAAAGTGGGTTTGTACTGCTGCCTATACCTATCACGGGGTTCTTCACAGACGAATGACGTCACTGATAATGGAGATACCAAAGAAGAATTTTGTTGAGTTCCGTTGCTCGTTCCATTCAAAATTAGGAGACCACCGCCGCCCTGAATTTGGCCTAAAGATAAAAGTAATGGAGATGCTGATTGTTGTGCAGGTCTATGGTCTCTGGTGTACTGCCTGGGTGGGTGAGACATGGGTCTCGGAGACGGGCCGGTGGTTGATGACACTTGGTGATCTGAAGGTGGTGGTTTTGCAGCTTGAACTCTGCGCATGGGGTGGGCACAGTTTCTTGAATCGTTGCAGGTGGAGTCAGGGCAGCCGCACTCCAGCTGTCTCGCCAAAGCTGCAGCCCTGGCAGCTCTCTGCTTCTCCATGAGCTGAGTTACGATGACTTCGACGGTTTCCGAGGTCTGAAACATTTTGCCCTGATTTTTAATTATAGTGAATTTGACTGCTAAATAACACGTCTATGGGCTGTACTCACCGAAATTTCCAAGTCATTGTTGTGGTCAGAATCGTCTTCGCTGAAGACTGAAACAGAAGACACTACAAATATTATAGGTACAAAGTCCATTCGTTTATGGAAATGCGAATTAAATACTATCTTTTCAATCGCGCCATGTTGGCCGAGTAATATTAAAAAAGCCATTAACCTAATTTCCATCACAAATGATAACGGAAATAATTCCATTTTAAGGCTTGTAATATTAATTTTCAATCCGAAATCAATAACAGGGTGCCCCTAAATTAACAACAGCATCGTTATTCCGATCAGATAGGATTAATAACCGCACTGCATAATTGATATTTGCCACCGTTTTCATAAATATTCAACAACGGAGCAGAAACTTTCATCGTTTCAATTTGGTTCCAGTGTTTTAAATTCTCCAATTCTGTTAGAATGACAATTTTCATGATTTTTTGTTCAGTAAAAGTTGTTAATTGACGGCACAGTGTTACATAGTAATTGTGTTATGATTGGCAGTTGAAGTGGAAGGCACAATTTGTTCGAGTTTTTGATTGTTCAGACTGAAACACTGAAACAATTTGTTGATTTCAAAAACAGAAGTTAGCTAAGATTAATATAATACGTTGTGACGATTAAAAAAGTCTACAAATAAGGTGCCTATAAAATACAACACATAAATTGCACATACCCTTGGATGCTCCATAAAATTGTTTAATTTATGCTTTAGAATATATTCTAAATCCCAAACATTTCGTTTCATTACACAAAGACACCGAACTTCATAATTCATACTTTGGAATTTTCCGAAGCAAAAAACCTTTGATTACATTCTTATCTGTGGAGTTATTCAAATTTATGTTGATCCACAGTTAAGATGAAGGTACTGGCATCTTTCTCATTTACGAATCTTATAATTTTATTCATAAGGTGTCCATTTGGATGGCGGTAAATGAACTATGTTATACTTCAATAGAATTTGTTTAACGACACCCTAAAATATTCGTGTATTTCATTCATAATAATTATAATGTTTATTCAGTTTGTTTTTTTGTTAAGTTCTGAATATCATTATGTCTTTGGAAAAGTATTTAATGGTTTTATTTTTAGCTTCAGTTCTTATACATGTATCACGTGTAAGTACTATATAATTTAATTATCTGGAAATATAGTACAAATTTATGTCTTTACATTATCATTTTTGTAATTACACACAGCATACACTTATTGGTGTACCCCAGGGACGCATATTAGTGCCAATAAGTTTTGGTCACTATCTTCATAGACATATGCTTGAATTTTCAACTTCATGTAATACTCACACATTGGCTTCAGTTGGCAGACCAGCTCATCCTTAGTCCACTCCTTCTTGTCTGCCCAAAGGGCCAGACTAGGTGCTACCGTTGCCAGTTTGTTGTCATCTGGGTATGGCACGTTCAGGTAGTGTACTAACACTATATCTGGATTCTGGAATTAGAGAATAATAACGAATTATTAAACTGAAAAAAATCGGGATGATCCTTCTACAACAAAATTGAAGCTTCGAACTCAGTTTCAATTTCTTCATAAGGTTGACTTGGATTTACCTACGGGCAGCTTTACGAGGGCAAATAGATGACATTAATCATATTTGTTTATTTTAAGCATCGTTATTGTTGTTTTCATTACTCAATTTTTACTTCGATTTTCTTATTTCAATAGAATGACCAAAACATTAGTTGGATTTTAACGAAATCATGTAATATACGGTAGGAGATCGTTGTTATGAAGAATTGATCAGAAACACAGCACTTGGAAACTAAATCAAAATCTTACTCTCAATTTTAATTATTGTTTTCTTATTAATGTTGAAATGTACTTAATATTTGTTTGTGAAATCAACAAAATAAATGTTATGCAGTTAAGAAAATAAAAATTGATTCAGTACAGAGATAACATATTATTTTGAAATAAAATTGTATTGTTTTAATGAAAGCCAAATCAATCTTTATTTTCTTACCTGTGAACCAAATTCTTTTGCTGACTGTAAATAAAGAAAATAAACGTTGTTCATAATGGAATAGAAACTATTTTATTTAAACTAATTTTGTACGTAACTCATCAACCATAAATGAAATATGTTCAATTGTATTTGTCCAAAGATAAAACAATGCTAATAGGGTCAGAATTATTCTATTGCATTCACAACTAAATGTTATCTACATCCATAATTTTATCGTATTTATTAACGAATATAAAACACTGTTTACATAAATTAAACATTAAAAACAAATGTAGATGCAAATCATTATTTCGATTGTAGTAAAACATTGGCGTACCTAATATCTACCTATCATTGTATAAAATATTGTCAATAAACATGTATCTAATTATGTCTTATTGAAATAAAATACACCGTTAAATTTGAATCGTTTTAATCCCTTGGAGGTTCGAACTGGCCCATGAAACACTATCGATTTGTAAAGATAAAATTAAAAAACAAAGTACTTTTTTTTAATAACTCGAATCAATTCAGCAGCATTCCTATCAGTAACAACCTAACAACATTGACGCGGTCGCTGGTCAACGTGGACTCGCAAACATCAGTTGATCAAGTCAATAGCCGCCGTGTAGGTACCTACACTGCCCGACCGTCGACGATACCCAACGACCGACGACGACGTAGGTAACTATCTCGTGACGCAACTTTTGGTTTCATACATTTTGCGAGTATAATCTTATCATTTGCTAATTTATTTATTTTTTATGTTACACCGCAGTACAAGCTTGTAATGAGTAGTATTCTGTTAGTTAAACCACAGGTCCATGGGATTAAAACGACTAAAATTTAACGGTGTGTATAGTAACTTGTACTAGTAATCCTAAACATATTCTTCTAAGGAATCTTTTTTTTTTCAAATATTTTTAGAAAATCGACTACCTTTTGTTAACGAACTGTATTTTCCATTCCATTAACAAGGTATCTTTTCGTAAACCTCTTTAAGCTGTGTTATCGAGTTTAACTAAAGCAAGAGCTACGCAATAAATTATAGCCAACAGAGACAGCGCACCCCGCCTTTATTTTCAACCGGATAACAAACACCATTTAACAATACAAACCTACACTATTACTCAAGTTAGTTACAAACAAATAAATTTCAAAAAACCCATAAAACCAAAAGCATTTATAAACGTTAAGTGATATGTGAAAATTTACAGCTATATATAAAACGCGTTACAAGGACAGGCTAACGAGTGGCGGGAATAAAAAAAATCAGACTACAACGTACTGCACTCAGTAGGGCATAAACAAAGAGCAACATCCGAAACTGCCAGTAAATCGACTCCAGCGCAGTTAAACTTGGTATAAAAATAAGTAATACACAATATTTTAATTTTGCCAACCCGACTAGCGAATGTAAAACCGAGTGCGCCGTAATAACTAACCATTTGTCTTCAAAATGGCTGCAATAAACATGGCGTCATTATTTATGTAATGGCCGCCGCGTAGGGTTGCCTCTCGACACGTGTGCACTTTATTATTGTTGTGGTTTTTCATTAACACCCCGTTAAAAGTATATTTGTTGTAACAGTGCTTCAACGTATTGTAACATGTTGTTGCCATAAATTTGTAGTTGAGTGAAATTCTGATTGTTCACACGTCATTATTTGCGGTGAAGCGGTTGTGGATGAGTGGGTCTGTTTAATTGGTCTCGTGAGGACAAATTACATTATACCTACATATAAATATGCGTTGGGCTCATTTTCTCATTAAACTACCTTGCTATAAATTAGTGTTTGTTCAATTAGTAGCTTGTAGTGTCATATATTTTTATACTGGCTATCTTTCTGCTGCTTTTATGTACATTGACTGCCTCATCATTGATCACTATTTTATGTAATCCTTACCACCTGTGCCTCGTAGTATCACGCCGCTTTTGTAGGATGCACATAGGGGTGTGGCAGTCATGTAATATTGAGGATAGTGTTAAAGTGGAAGGTTTACACTATTCAAGGGTTCACCGCTCCGGTGCCGGACTTCGCTGATATTATTTGGACTACCCTACAACAACTTACCATCTACGCTACGACGACCACCGGACTACCCTAGTGGCCGACAAAGCATTCGCCGATCTATCAGGGCAGTGGTATTGATTGATGGACTTTTCACGTGTTGGTCTTAGTGAATATTAAAGAACCCACTTGATCGTATATCTTTATATTTTATTATAGACCTTCTAATCATTATAGCAGCTGTTTTATTTACCTGACGAGGAAAAGTTGTTACACAAGCTTAAGGGATCATATAGGACGTACGTGAATAATAAATATTAAAGTATTGGCAATATTTGGGTAATTAAGCTAATATTTTTGACTGACATAAAGGCCTGTTAAACACCGAATTCGTTCATTGTTTTGTCTCCACTTTTAGCGTTATATACAAAAATAATATCATTTATGTCAAAATAGACTCTTCTATATGAAAACAAGATTAATTTTGACTAAAACTTTCCAAGGAAAGCGATTGCACAAACGTTAAATAAATCTGATAACAATTGTATTTAACACTACTAACAAAACTTTCGCCTAAACCTTCATGCACGAAATAGCCATGATTTTATCTACTTTATATAATGATAGTGAGATAAACAAATTTATTGTGAATGTATTGCATACACACCATATAATCATAGAAGTTTATTTTGTAGTTCAGTGTGTGAAATAATGCCAAATAAATCCACTTTAGTAAGGCCATGAGACTTAGCTTCGTTCCAGTTTTAACCGGATAATCGGTTTGGTAATTAAGGGAATAAGAAGTAGTTTATTGGCTGTGTATCACTTGAATAAGTGAAAATAAATATTGACACTGACATACGGCAAATTGGGTCAAAAGTTTAGTCTACATTATATATCAATTTTTGTCCCCCAACTATTTTTACACCACTGTATATATACAATAAAATAGTTGATAATGTTTATGTCTACTAACCCAATTGTTTTGTCCTTTCAGCTACTAACAACTAAAAACTACCGCAAAGTTAAGTTCGATGGTTCATTAATTTTGCCGTCACCACTCGACACTGGCAGTATAGCCGACAACATCGTATTGGAGAACTCGGTTGCCAAAGAAGAAAAAAAATACAGTCAATTTTTGTAGATCACCTCAAAATATATCACATCAAATACCAGATTCCAATAAATTAGTCTACCGTTCAATTTACACCCTCTAAAATCACAGTTTTTTATAAAAATGTACAATCAAAAACCATACACTAGACAACCCTAGAGTGTCTGTACACAAAAGTCGAAAGTTACTTGCAGTTTAGAGTTTAGCACGATCTAACTGACTGTTGGCGACTACGAATAAAAAGATTATACATACTATTTAAGGGTATCTACCATATGAGAAAATATACATATTAGGAACTATTTAGATATAATCGCTGTAGAGGATTCAGTCTTACAACGTAGTGGAAGCACTTATGCTTTAAAAAGCAATAGAATTGAAATTAAGTATATTTTGTTTCGGAATAAAATGTAATTGGATGCTTCTATGGTAGTCATTGAGGTGTCATAAAAATAAATTGTTAGGTTTCTGAAAATTTTATCAGTGAATAACATGACTGTCTCGTTAGTCGAGTGGTTGCAAGTACGACTGCCGGGCAAGGGGTCTCGTGTTCGATTCCCGGGTCGTGCAAAGTATAACTGGGTTTTTTTTTAATTTTCTGTAGTAGGACGGAGTCTGGAATGGTGCCCGGTATATGGCAATAGACTCACCTTCTATTACATGGGACTCATAGTATTAATAGTGAAAAATCGGTGTTACATTGCACAGTGGCATAATGTGCAACTCTGCCTACCCCTACAGGGTTAAAGGCGTCATGTATGTATGTACGATAGAGACAACATAAATGGTGAAATCGACCATTTTCTCTAATTTGTTAATTAACATGAAACAAGACAATATGGTATCCTACTAATATAATAAATTTGAAAATTTGTATATTTATTTGTTACTCCCTCACGTGAAAACGGTTGAGGGGATCGGGATGAAAAATGGAACAGAGGTAGAATATAGTGTGGAAAAACACATAGGCTACTTTTCATCTCACAAGAATGCGGGCAAAACCGCTGACAGAAGCTAGTTATTCATACTTTTATAGTTGAAGACGAAGCATGGCTGATTAACATATATGAGTTCGTACCCGGTCGTAGATAAAATATTAAATTCGATTCCGAAAATTATCATTAGTTCTAAATCTAAGTCGTTTCAAAAAGTGTCTAATTTAGGATTAATCGAAATAAATGCTTTGACTTTGAAATAGTTTTTTTTTTAAAGGGGAATATCTTCGAATGACTGCTCCCGCCTGGGTGAGGCGGGAGGCTCCTATTGACTTAAAACTACCCCGTTCCTTCTCCTGCACGTCGAGCCGGAGCCCCGGTTACCTGTTAGGTTCTCCGCGACACATACGGCAGGATTTGAGTGA